TATATATATATATATATATATATATATTATTTTTTATTTATTAAGTGATCAAAATGTAGCAGAGGATTTTTATGGCACCAAAAGTTAAATTCACCATAATCATTACCCCTGATGGGCTCATCTACACAACAGGGCCAAGCCTTCGCCCCGTGTTGCAACCTGTCAGCTGTTCTTGCATCTCACAGGAGCGACTGAAGCATCCTGTCATTTCCCAGCAAGACTGCTAAGCAGCTTACACATCCCTGCTCACAACCCTCCAAGCTTATAAGCCCTGCCATTTTGTTGTTGTCTTCAACTAGCTTGATCAATTAACTCGTGAACTATCCATCGGTGAGCTGCAGACAAAAGGCTCCAAACTGCACAGAAAGGTGAACAATTGTCTGAATCTGCAAGGGATATCCATTTGTCATCTGCTGTTTGATTACTGCACATTGTACAATGTCAAAGCATGAGAAAAGGAAACTGAAAATCACACTTTGGACATGCAAGCAGTTGCCATGGTGATTTTAATACCTCCACACAACAGACACTGAAAATTTGGAATCAACAAGTGCATTTCAGCGTCCAATAACTCAACCAGAACCAGCAATTAGTAAAGAGGCACAGTGACGTCAGTGTTTTTTTTTTCTTGGAAAGTATCCGGCGGGCGCGATGCGACCTGTGAGACTCTGAYCGAGAGCCGTCAGCCTGGTATCAACATAACTGACGCAGCAGGTTGACAACGAAGCACACTCGCACACAAACACACCACCAGAAACACGCACAGCCGTAAACAAACGCACGTCARGACTGTATCAATATTTCCCAGCTCGCCTGAACCTCCTCGGTTTTCCCGCAGGCTGACTGGAAACAATGGTTTCTTTGTTGAACTGCACCTGCAGCGCTGAAACAAGCAGCTACACGCCTGCTAGCTTAAAAACACTGAGTCAGAAGAATGCATAGCTGCTGGAGTTGTGTGCATACGGACAGACTCTCACCCCCCCTGAAGCATAACATCAGCTGGTGGATGTATTGACTGCTTGTGTAACGGCAGCCACGCTACACCCACACAGGTGGAGAGATACAAGAAAGAAGCAGCAAAACGAAACGTGGGCTATTGAGTAGCAGGGAAAAAAATAAAAAGAGGAAGTTTGCAACGCTGAACAGGGAGAGTGATAGAAGGGCTGCAGAGAAAGAATGGAGGTGGATGGAGAGACACTGAATCACTAGTGAAGGTCAAACCAGATTCACTAGGAGTTGTCATGGAAGCAGGATATGCTGGGGTCGTTGCCATGGCAGGAGCTGCGCGACGAGGAGCGGCGCTACAAAATGTTGTTATAAAATCCCATTTGAAGATCTCCACCCCTTACTATCGGCTATTACATCACACGTTTCAGAGGAGAGGAGTGGTGTGTGTCCCCAGTGTCTGCGTGGCCTAACAGCAATGTTAACACCTGCCTACCGCGCAGGAGGAGTCACACGGGAAACAAGCTAAGGGGCAAGGACAAAATGTGTGAAACACAGGTAATAGCTGAGAGTATGTTTGAAACACAGTCTGTGCGAACGCAAGATCTAAACAGTGTTGTATAAAGTACCTCAAAGTGATACTTGAGTAATAGTACAAGTATCTTATCATAAAAATACTTTGGTAAAAGTTAGTTTTCTCTAAAAATATCTGATATTTTTTGTACTTAAGTATCAAAAGTAAATTTCTGACGCAAAATCTACTTAAGTATCAAAAGTACTGAGTAAAAGTGAGCAGTTAGATTTTCCAAAGTGACATTTATTGGGAGGTGATTTCTCATAAAAAAAAAAAATTTCTAACGGCGTGCAGCTGTGATGGGTTGTGTACAAGCTAATAAGGTGTCAGAATGCTATATATCAGGGATATTCAACTGGCGGCCCGCAGGCCAAAGCCGGCCCGCGAGTGACCAAAGTTCAGCCCGCCAATTGGTTCACTCATCTCTTTAGCCCAAACCCCCAGTTTTCTACTGTGATTACTATGAGTTCTTTTAGTTKAACATAGACATGTTTGGTGTCTACAGAAACGTCAGAATCTTGGCTACAAGCTGGTAAAAACCGTTTCTATGAACATCCAAGACAGTTAAAACTACAAGCAGTTGAAAAAAAAACTCAGTGAAAATAAAATTGGTTTAAAAATTTGGCAAGTCAGAGATGTCAAAAATATTTGTGGTAAATAAGAGAGGCATATTTTTTTCTTTTTTGTTTGTTTTATCATCAGTACATTTATTAAATAGTGTTCTGTATGTTTTCATGATTAAATACAGCAAAATAAACTATTTCAAAGGTAACAGATCTTTGTATTATTTAGTTTATTTACATAACTTTAACTGCTGGATGTTCAGCCCCTGAGCTGTTGGTCTGCATTAACTGTGGCCCCCCGGTGCAATTTAGATGAATAGCCCTGCTATATATTTATACTTCTTATCCAACCACAATTAAATTCACTCTATCCAGGAGACACAATTTATCTGTATATTATTTTTTAAGTAATAACTCGGAATAAAATAGGAGTAACAACTTTCTACTTCTTATCTTTTTTTAAAAAAATGTAGTGAGTAGAAAGTACAGATAATTGTGTAAAAATYTAATGAGTAAAAAGTACGCTGAAAAATAATTACTCAAGTAAAGTACAGATATCCAAAAATTCTACTTATGTACAGTAACAAAGTATTTGTACTTAGTTACTTTACAACTCTGGATCTAAATGTGAACTACACTCACCGGCCACTTTATTAGGTACACCTGTCCAACTGCTCGTTAACACTTAATTTCTAATCAGCCAATCACATGGCGGCAACTCAGTGCATTTAGGCATGTAGACATGGTCAAGACAATCTCCTGCAGTTCAAACCGAGCATCAGTATGGGGAAGAAAGGTGATTTGAGTGCCTTTGAACGTGGCATGGTTGTTGGTGCCAGAAGGGCTGGTCTGAGTATTTCAGAAACTGCTGATCTACTGGGATTTTCACGCACAACCATCTCTAGGGTTTACAGAGAATGGTCCGAAAAAGAAAAAACATCCAGTGAGCAGCAGTCCTGTGGGCGGAAATGCCTTGTTGATGCCAGAGGTCAGAGGAGAATGGGCAGACTGGTTCGAGCTGATAGAAAAGCAACAGTGACTCAAATAACCACCCYTTACAACCAAGGTAGGCAGAAGAGCATCTCTGAACGCACAGTACGTCGAACTTTGAGGCAGATGGGCTTCAGCAGCAGAAGACCACACCGGGTGCCACTCCTTTCAGCTAAGAACAGGAAACTGAGGCTACAATTTGCACAAGCTCATCGAAATTGGACAAGAGAAGATTGGAAAAACGTTGCCTGGTCTGTTGAGTCTCGATTTCTGCTGCGACATTCGGATGGTAGGGTCAGAATTTGGTGTCAACAACATGAAAGCATGGATCCATCCTGCCTTGTATCAACGGTTCAGGCTGGTGGTGGTGGTGTCATGGTGTGGGGAATCTTTTCTTGGCACTCTT